GGTGGTGCACACCTTTAATTCCAGCACTAGGGAGGCAGTGCCAGGCAGATCTCTGTGAGTTCAAGAACAACCTGGTCTACAGAGTGAGATCCAGGACAGGCACCAAAACAACACGGAGAAACCCTGTCTCTCAGAAAAAAACAAAAAACAAACAAACGAAAAAGAAAGCAGAGTTGTGAAAACTCATGTTCTAGAAAGAATAAGAGTCATTATTCCTACTGCGTAATAACTCTTCGATAACTGTTTCCTACCTATAGTGTTTAATCCACAGGTGATTTTCATTAGAATTTTAACTGAAAAATATATTTATCTTCCCAAAATATTACCTTTTTTTTTTTTGAGACAAAGCTTAACGACGTAGCTTAGGCTGGCCTCAAACTCACCGTGTAGCTCAGACTGACCTGAATTTCACAGCCTTCCTTCCTCAACCTCCTGAGTGCTAGGATTACAGGCATGTGCCATGTCTCCAATGTAACACTGAAAACTTTTTGTTTTGGTTCTTTAAATTCTTTAAGGTTTATTTAATTTATTTTATATGTATGAAATTCTTGCCTGTGTGTGTGTGTGTGTGTGTGTGTGTGTGTGTGTGTGTGTGTGTGTGCACCACATGCATTCCTGGTGCCTGCCAAGGACAGAAAATGTGGCAATCCAGTATTATGAAGACATCTCCTACATCCTAAGAGACTGGAACATTTTCTGGACCTCACAGCTGAGTTAATAATACACCCTGAGGTCACTTACTCAGGCATGGTGGCACACACCTTTAATCCTAGTACTTGAGAAGCAGAGGCAGGCAGATCTCTGAGTTTGAGGACAGCCTGGTCTAACAGAGGGAGTTCCAGGACAGTCAGGTTAACAGAGAAAAACCCTGTCTCTGGGTTTGGGAGTTGGCGGGGGAGATGGAGTGAAGCCCTTGGTTAAGGACAGACACACAGTAGGTGCAGGGGCAGATTCACAAGTCAGTCTTTAGGCAGGCACAGATTCAGACTCATGCAGCAGACAGACAGACAGGAGTTGGAAAACAGAAGGTACAGGGGTCAAGAAGCAGAGAATCTGAATCAGGACACATTCTTGGTTATATGACTCCAGGGGGAAGTTCTTTTGTTTCTTTTATTTAAAGCGACACCGATGCATTATTGGTGACTCAGAGTTAGTCACTAATGTGTTTAAATTCTTGCATCCTCTAGACCTGGAGTCAGGGACAGTTATGAGCTACCATGTGGGTGTTAGGACCTGAACTCAGGTCCTCTGCCAGCACAAGTGCTCGTAACCACTGAGCCATCACTTCGGACCCTGGGTTTGGGTCTTTGAGACGGGTCGCCTTATATATCTTAGGCTGCTTTGAACTTGAAGTTATCTTCCTCTCTCAGCTTTCCAAGTGTGCACCACCATGCCTAGCCAGCAGCTCGCCTTTTCAAGTGAAATAATGAAGGCAGTCAGTGAAGAAAACTTGCTGTCGTTTGGACTTGCAAGGTCCACCCAGAGGTCCAGACAGAAGCGTATTCCCTAGCCTGGGGTGCTATTAGGGCATTCTGGGACTGTTCAAAGCCTAGTAGGAGGAAGTGACATCACTGGAGGCCCTGCCTTTGAAGGGATTGTAGAATCCCACCCCCTCCCCTTTCTCTCTGTTTCCCAGTCACCATGAGATGAACAGTTTCCTCTTTCATGCATGGCCACCATGATATGCCTCACTACAGACCCAAACAACAGGGCCAGTCAACCAACAACTAACGCCTGCAAAACTGTGAACCCAAACAAATGCTTCCTTTGTAAAGTTAGTTCCCTCTGGTATTTTGCTACAGTCACAACAGAAAACCAACCTCAAGTCTCTAGATTCATTCTCAATACAATTGCCCGCTTGCTAAGACAAGACTGTAACCCACATACCAGAAGCCTGAGACACAAGGATGGCCATTCCAAGACCTCTCTGAACTACAGAGCGAGTTCAAGGATAGCCTGGGCAATTTAGTGTGATGCTGTCTTAAGAAATAAAAAGAGCCGGGCGGTGGTGGCGCACGCCTTTAATCCCAGCACTCGGGAGGCAGAGCCAGGCGGATCTCTGTGAGTTCGAGGCCAGCCTGGTCTACAGCGCGAGATCCAGGAAAGGCGCAAAGCTACACAGAGAAACCCTGTCTCGAAAAACCAAAAAAAAAAAAATTTCTTTATAATTTTATAAGAATTTTTTATAAAATTTTATAAAAGCAATTTATAAGAAACTCATAAAATAAATTAAAAAGAGAGCTGGGGATACAGCTCAGTGATTGAATATGTCTAATGTGCGCAAGACACTAAACTCAATTCTCAGTACTAAGAAAGCAAGCAAACACAATTAATAGCATGTCAGAATTCTCTCTCTCTCTCTCTCTCTCTCTCTCTCTCTCTCTCTCACACACACACACACACACACACACACACACACACACACACACACACACACGACTGGAGAGATTCTGAATGTCAACTAGGGGACTTTAGCATATTATATAAACAAAGCAACGATCACATTAGCTATTTATGATCAGGAAGTATTGCTTTAAGTATTACATCCTTAAATGGGGCATGGGTGGTTCATGCTTATAATCCTATAATCCTAACACTTGGGAGGCCGACGCAGGAGAGTCATGAGTTTGAGACCAGGTCCAAAAAATACATTGGACCCTGCATACTAAAATACCGACCTGCCCAGCAAGGTGGTCCCATTGTCATAGTGGCATGATGTTTGGGGGGATGGTAGCCAACCGTGGTTTCTGATCATATTTAAGGCATGCTCCACAGGAGGGAATGCATGTTTGGTACTGTAAACTTGGTCCGGAGCCCACGGACCCCAGAAATCATAGACCCTCCGGGAGACCTTCTATTGTTTTTCTAAATGGTCATGTAGTCAAACTGCCTTCTATGTTTCTATGTATGTTTCTACCCGTAGATCAGTGCCGGTTTTAACTGCCATCAGAGAAGCTTGTTTTTGTAGTGAGCAGAGGCTAATACAGAGAGTTATAACTGCTCAAGTGCTGAGGATAAGTGGCTGTGCGTGTCCAGCCCTAAATGAGACCTCTATAGCACTCACACACACACCCCAAAGCTTAAAGAACAGGATGAAAGAGAGGGTGGAAGAATGTAGGAGCCAGAGAGTGGCGGAGGAGTATGTGACATGTTCTCTTCTGGATATGACATGGCCATGGTCCTCATGAACTCAGGGCAGCAGGTTATCTGCAGCAGGATCAAGCCAATCAAAGTTTCAGCATGAATGGGGAGGGAAACGCTCAAGGCTCCTCCCCTAGATGAGGGTCTGTTGGTGGCTGATGGCTGCCAGGGGAGGGAGAGTAAATTGTCTTTGGGGATGTGGCACTGGTAGGGATGTGGAGGGCCCCACACCCATGCACATAGGGACAACACTAACCGGACTCGGTGAGTTAAAAAAGAAGAGCGGGAAGATTTGAACTTGGGAGGAGGACATATTGGGGAGTAGATATGACCAAACTATATTGCATAGAGGTATGACATTCTCAAGGAAAAATATTACATTGAAAAAAATGAACACATAAGTAAGCATATAAAGAAATAGTAACAATTTAAAAAGCCAAGTACATGCTTAAAAACAAAAACATACTAAGGATCTGGGAGACGCTTTTGTGGGTAAAAGTGCTGGCTGTGGGAGCATGAGGACCTTAGTGTGAATCTCTAGCACCCATGTAAAAATCCAGGCACGGCCATGCCTGCCTGCCTGTAACTCCAACACAGGGGCTGATCGGGCAGAGACAGGAGGGTCATTGGAGCTGGCTGGCTGCCAGCCTAGCCAAAACAGGGGAAACTCCAGGTTCAGCGAGAGACCCTGTCTCAAAGGAATGAGGAGGAGAGTGACGGAGGAGGACACCCAGCATCTTCCTCTGGCCTCCACAAGCTGTGCACACGCAACATGTACACACAGACATTTCATGGTGTTTTATACTTTAAGAAACGGGATGAAGAGCTGGAGTTCAGATATAATACTCTAAAATGTTCCTATTTGATATGAAAATAATGAGGCTCCTGGACATTATATGACATGGGAAAGAGCCTAAACGGTATTAGGTCACAGAGGTTTTTATGCCCAACAGTGACATGGGGACTCAGTGACCCTTGCAGCTTGAGTTGGGGAAACATGAGATCCAGCTTCTTGGAGAGAGAAATTCCCCAGGGCACAAGGCCATCAACAAGAACATTTCTAGCTTCCTTCATGAACTGGCCTTGAGCCTGATTAGCCAAAGTCTCATTAGTTGGGAGAAATTAAGCTACAGGTTCCCACCCTGGCCCCCTGTCAGGGGAAGCCTTAACATACATTTCAATTCTAGATTCAGTCTTGGAGGAAGGGCCCATATTCATTCTCTCTCTCTCTCTCTCTCTCTCTCTCTCTCTCTCTCTCTCTCTCTCTCGCTCTCGCTCTCGCTCGCTCTCGCTCTCGCTCTCGCTCTCGCTCTCTCTTTCTGAAAGTGGAGGCCAGAGGTCAACCTCAGGTGTCCTTCCTCAGGACACCACCCACCTTGCTCTTTGAGACAGATCTCTCATTGTTCCAGAAATCACTGGTTCATCTAGATTGGATGACCAGAGAGCCCCAGGATCTGCCCTTGGTGCCGGGATTACACCTGTGCCCTCACCATGTCCAGCTTTCTCCAGTGGGTTTTGGAGCTCGAACTCAGTTCTTTATAATTGCACAGCAAGCCCTCCTCCTATGGAGTCGTTTCCCCATTCATTCATTCATTCATTCATCTCTCATTCATTCCTCTGTTGTTCGACTCTACTCATCTGGTCATACAGCTGCACAGGGAGATCCAGGCTCAGTCCCAGCCCCTGTCCCTGCTCCCAATATCTCTACCAAGTCCTGCTGGGTCACTTCCGCCCTTGGTACCCCCAGAAACTCTAAGGATCCGGGGGTGCTAGGCCAGCACGTACTCGGACCCTCCTCGGAACACCATGCAGGTATACTGCACACATCCAGCATTGGAAGAGACCAGTGGCAAACTGAATGAGAGTTGTACCTTTAGCTTTATTAGAATATCGCATACATTGCAATAAATAATAACTTACTGAATCCTTAAACACATCATAAATAATATGGACATCTTACAGAATTAAATAAAAGCATACATTTATTTTTTCCTGGAGTAAACTGGAGGAGGCTTGTTCAGTGATCCTGACATCTGAGTCACATCTCAACCATTTGGTGCTTTCTGCTGATGTGGGATGGTAAAGTTGCAGTACACACGAAGCGTTCACTTTGCTTCTCAAGTTCAGTTACACTGAAAAGGACGGGCCCACATGTGGTTGGCCCCCATTCTCAGTGCAATGAGAGGTCCCTTTCTGTCCCCCAAATCTGGCTACTCCAGGCCCAGAAAGACGATCATGACACAATCTGATTCATACAAAAGAACACAAGAACAGTTAACCTCCTAGGAGTTGAGAGCAGAGGTGGGCTTACTGGAGGCGGGAGAGAGCAGCAGGGAGTTGAGGGGAGGCTGATTAACGGGGACTAAACTGAAGTTAGGAGCAGGAAGCCCTAGTGTGGCATCCCTCATCAAGACAGTGACTGAGTAAGGTCTATCTCAAAGGGCCAGGAGAAAGGATGTTGGAGTGGGATGTGTGATCCTCCTGCTTCCAAATGAATCAAGAGTTCAGAGTCATCCTTGGCTACACACTGAGTTCAAGGTCAGCCTGGGATACTTGAGACCCTGTCTCAAAAAGGGGGATGAGGGCTAGGGAATATAGCTCAGTTGACAGAGTGCTTGGGTAGCATGCACAGAGCCCTGGGTTCCATCCCAGCATCACAAAAACTAGTAATGATGGTGCATGCCTGTCAACTCATCGTTCAGGCCGAGGAGGCAGGAGGATCAGAAGTTCAAGGTCATCCTTGGCTACTTTACAAGTTTGAGGCCAACCTGAGCTACAGGAGTTTCTGTTATACATACACAAAAAGGATGTTAAATATTTTTATATGTAAATGATCAATGTTTGAGGACATAGATAGGTTTAACTTGACTACATGATGTAAATATAAATGGAAACAGTGTATGGTAACCCTTAATTTGTACAGTTTTGTGGGTTTTATGCATCAGTTTAAAAATCAACTCGAGATCTGCAGTCCTGTCTTCACTGAGCCCGCTCAGTCTCAGTCTTCCATTGTCCACTCAGTACTCATCACACCAAGAAACTCTTGCAGGTAATCCAGGAACTGCCTCGTCCTCCGCCTCTCCTGGCCACACTGCTCCTGTGAAAAGAACACACTGTCATCGGCTGCTGGAGAAGCAGGTGCAGCCAGACTCGCAGGGCTCCCGGGGAACTTACTTTTTGGCGGTCAATGTATTTCTTTATTAGTGACAAGTTTTGGAATAGCGTTTCCACGGTACCCCCACGGACAGTTTGATTCTTCAGTATGTCTAGCCCCTGGAAGATTTCTCCGATGCATAGCTGGTGCTGAAAGGGGAAGCTTATCAAGAACCGAGTAGATCAAGGTGGAGCGCCTGTTGTATCAGCCGGCCCACCAAGGACATATATTTCAAAATATCATGTTATGTGCAACGAATACATGCAATTTAGATGCATCCGTGTAAAACAAAAATCAGATCATCCGGGACATAGTGGGGCTTATCTGTAATCCCAGCATTCAGGAGGTGGGGGTAAGAGGATCAAGACTTCAAGGCCGGCCTGTGATACATAGAGTTTGAGGCCAGCCAGTGCTGCATGAGACTGTTTAAAAAATCAAAACCCAGCCGGGCGGTGGTGGCGCACGCCTTTAATCCCAGCACTCGGGAGGCAGAGCCAGGCGGATCTCTGTGAGTTCGAGGCCAGCCTGGTCTACAGAGTGAGATCCAGGAAAGGCGCAAAGCTACACAGAGAAACCCTGTCTCGAAAAACCAAAAAAAAAAAAAAAAAAATCAAAACCCAAGTTAGACTTTGGACTGGAGAGATGGCTCCATGGTTAAGATCACCGGCTGTTTTGGTTCAGTTCCCAGCACCCTTGTGGTGACTCACAACCATCTGAGTCCTGGGATTAAAGGTGAGTTGCAACACCAGGTGGTGGTGGCGTATGCCTTTAATCCCAGCACTCGAGAGGCAGAGCCAGGCGGATCTTTGTGAGTTTGAGGCCAGTCTGGTCTACAGAGTGAGTTCCAGGACAGGCACTAAAGCTACACAGAGAAACCCTGTATCAAAAACAAACAAACAGACAAACAAAAAAAGGTGAGTGGCACCATACCCAGCCCAATATTTCTTTTGAAATTTAGGCTGGTAATTCTTTTCTATTTAGAATAATTAAATAATGTATTTTACACTAGAATAAAATATATTGCATATGTTTGCAATATCATTACATAGTCATGTTAATTTAACTGTGTAGAAGTTACTAATAGAGGACATTCTTTCTATTCTTTATATCTACCAATCATCACCTAAGAATATAGCCCTCTGAGTGTGCTGATATATTGTGTACCTTAATAAAATTTGCCTGAAGATCAGAGAACAGAACAAGCCACTAAATTAAACATAGAAGCCAGGCAGTGGTGGCACACACCTTTAATCCTAGCACTCGGGAGACACCTGGACTACATGAGATTGACTCAGTCTAGGGGAGAAAACAGAGCCAGGCAGTGGTGGCACACACCTTTAATCCTAGCACTCGGGAGACACCTGGACTACATGAGATTGACTCAGTCTAGGGGAGAAAACAGAGCCAGGCAGTGGTGGCACACACCTTTAATCCTAGCACTCGGGAGACATCTGGACTACATGAGATTGACTCAGTCTAGGGGAGTCAGGCAGTGGTGGCACACACTTTTAATCCCAGTGCTGGGAAGAACACACTCCTTTAAACCCAGGAATTGATGTCTGGACGGAGAAAAATATATAAGGTGTAAGGAGACAGGAACTAAAGGCCTTTCGGCTAGAGGCTTTTTTGGCTGGAGCCTTTCGAGTGAGGACTCAGATGATTTTAGTCAGAGGATTTGTGGAATTGGTGAAGTGAGACGTGGCAGTGGCTTGTTCCTTTGTCTCTCCAATCTTCAGGCAAATTTTATTAGGGTACACAATATATCACCACATCTAAGTTAGAGAGGTGGCTCAATGGTTAAGAGCACTTGATGCTCTTGCTGAGGACACAGGTTCAGTTCCCAGCACCCACATGATCTGCAACCATCTGCAGCTCTAGTCCCAGGTGATCCGATGCCCTCTTTTAGCTTTCAGGGACACCAGACACTTGTGGAACACATACATATATGCAGACAAAATACTCATAAAATAAAAATAAATAAAAGCAATATAATCCTAAGTTATTAGTACTTTCAGAAAGATTAATATTAGAGTGGGCTGGGTCTGGAACTCACTGGTAGAGTGCTTACCCAGCACATGCAAGGCCCTGGGCTTGATCTTCAGCAATGCAAAACAAGAAAAGGAAAATAAAGAAATGCCACAGGCAGAACCAAACGGAGCCTAGCAGGACCTCTTGCCACGTGTAGAACTGTGCCAAGAATCGTTGATGTGAGTCTCTGTTAGATGGAGGGCTGACAGCTTCACTTGGCCACTTATATATCAGATTCGCTCAGTCATTCCTAATATTGATTGATTGGTGGCTTTTGAGTGTCCCATAGCCCAGGCTGGCCTCTAGCTCAACAGGTGGCTGAGAATGGCCTGCACCCCTGGTCCTCCTGCTTCCCTTTATCCTGCTGAGATTACAGACATGCTCTACCATACCTAGTTTATGGGGTTCTGATGAATGAACCCAAAGCGTAGTGTATATTAGGCACTCTATCAATGGAGCTCTATCTCCGGCCCTCTCTGTTTGTTTGTTTGTTTGTTTTTTGATACAGGGTCTGGTTGTATAATCCAGGCGGGCTTTGAATTTATATGGAGCCTAAGGTGGCCCCAGACTCATGCTTCCCCTGCCTCAGGCTCCCGAATATTGGGATTACATCATTTGCCATCCCATCTGTCCCTTATTCTTCATATTTATAAGCGCATACTTTCACATCCACCCGTATAAAAAATTTCAAAGGAAATCAAACAGTTTTTACTGAAAACAAATGATTAGCTAGGTGGGGTGACACAGGTCTGTTGTGTCCCAGCTACTCACACTGAGACAAGAGGACCACTCAAACCCAGGAGCTTGGGACCGAGTGAGATGCCCACCCCAAACACAACACCACAAAGCAAGAAGCAAATGACTTGTAGCTAAGTGTGTGAAGTCGACTTATTCATGCAACCATGGCATTGAAAAATAACTTACATTTTTGTGGGTAGGAACAGGAAGCCTCACCGTCTGCAAATGAAAGAGCATAGCGTCATTTCCAAAGCATTTGTGACTGTTTTAATCCAGTGCTTGCTGGGGACAGGGTCATCACCCATGGACTAACACTGACACATTCATAATTGCATTATTTATAGCAGATCTTTATGTGCGAGAATGAACTGCCATAAATTATTAATGCTTTTAAAAAAATCATTTTTGAGTCAGGGTCTCACTCTGTAGCTCTGGCTGGCCCGGAACTTGCTGTGTAGACCAGGTTGGCTTTGAACTCACAAAGACCACCTGTCTCTGCCTCAGAATGCTGGCATGAAAGCTGTGAGCCACCACATCCAGCTATTCATGCATTTTTAAGACCCATAGAGGCAGGTGAGGTAATCTGTGTCTACAGTCCTAGTATTTGGGAGACAGAGGCAAGAGAATCCCCTAGGAATTGGGACAGCTTGGTCTACATAGCAAGTTTGAGGCCAGTCAGGGTTGCATAGCAAGACCTTATCTTGAAAACAAAACCAAATCATAGAAATAAAAATTGTCCTTTACCTCGTTGCTGGTTAGCAGAGCTCGGTGAGTGGACAGCTGTATCAAGGTCTCTTTCACCACTGTGCTCATGGGAATCTCCATAGCGATGGCCCAGACACAGGCGAGAGTCAGAACGCTCAAGCGCAGAAGCATTCTCATGATTCTGAAGCCTTCGGGGTTGGCCTTTAGCAAAGGAAGAGCGCAGGGCAGGGCTGCATCCCCAAACAATTTATTCTCTGTTTGAGGAAATGAATAATTTCTAACAATCAGATAGAGGACACCTAATAAAGGCAAGTAGTGAAACTCAGTGTTTGCAATAACTTCCTTGGGTCTTCAAAGAAAAATGCACTTTTTTTTTCCTCATAATAGTAAACATCTCTACCCCCACCCCTTTTTAAAAAGCATTTTCTATAACAAAAGAAAATTGGTTTCTACAACCTTGATCCACATTTACACTTCATTCAGAACACTCGATTTCTCTTTAAAAGATGTGCAACTATGGCAAGTCTCTGCAGAGATGCCCACACTCATACTCTCTCCTTTTCCCAAGCATCTTTCTTTTTTATCAACCCTCTGCCCCAACTTAATTCCTAATAAAGTAAAAAAAAAAATGCATTCAAACATACACCTTTAAACAGACTGTTCTGCTAACGTACAAAACTCTTGGGAATGTCTTCCTGGGTGTGATGGCGCACACCAGCAGGTACCGGAGGTACAGTCGGGAGGATCAAGAGGTGAGGTCATCCTTGGCTACATAGCAAGTGTGAGGTCAGCCTGGAACACATGAGCCCCTGTTTCACACAACCCAAGAGCAAAGGGAAAAGGGGTGTCTTCTCAGCTGAACTCAGCTCTACGTTGACTGAAGCTGGAATTATCTGTGCTTCAGAAGGAACTGAAAATACTCTGGGAAGACACTGATTAGAGAGTCCAGCGGAGTTGAGTTACATGGTGTAGGTTCTGGACCAACATTCTGTCTGTCCTTGATAGCCAAAAGCCTAAAGCAAACCGGGTGGAGATAAGCAGAGGGCTTGCTGGGTCGTAGCACACGGTGCAGGGTAGAGGCTCCTTCCTGTGCTGCTTCAGTGGCCCAGCCTGCCCGTGACCCAGTTTTCAAGCAGCTCTCGGTGGGGTCCCAGAGTGACATCAGGACTCCTGGCTCTCTCTGTACCTTGTCACATGCAGCAGGAAGAATCAAGTTTTGCATTTCCTTTCATTTCCCTTTCTTTCTTTCTTTCTTTCTTTCTTTCTTTTCTTTCTTTCTTTCTTTCTTTCTTTCTTTCTTTCTTCCTTCCTTCCTTCCTTCCTTCCTTCCTTCCTTCCTTCCTTCTTCCTTCTTTCTTTCTTTCTTTCTTTCTTTCTTTCTTTCTTTCTTTCTTTCGTGTGTGGTGTGGGTTTATGGAGACAAAGCCTGACTACACAGCCCAAATGGTCCATGAGTGTCTGCTTCTTTTCCCACAGCCTCCCAAGCATTGTGTGGGGCATGCACCACTGCACCTGCCTCCAGCATTTCTTTTCTCATTGTTCAGTCAAAACAGTTCAGTCTCAACTGCACTCCCTAATTTCAAGGTGCAGAGAAGTCAAGCGGGAACCAAGCCGAAAACTTGCTCCCAGCTGGCTAGCACTCAGAGTGCTGGAAGGTATTATGTTGGCTGCTGAGGGAGAGTTGTTATCAACAGTCTTTCTGGTGGGCCCTGTCTGCACAGGCCAACTGGCCAGGCAAGATGTGCCCTCTGGTACACTAGTGGGAAGTCTGTAACGGAGGCAACCAACTGCTTTCTGGGAAGGTCTGAGGCCCGTTCCACAGGAAGGAATACACAGGAAGCCTGGTCAAAAGCTCACAGCTGGGTCATAGGCCTGAGCAGGGAAAGTGTTGCTGTTGTTTTACTAAATGGATGTGATAGACCCGTCAAATTGTCTTCTAAGTAACTATGTGTATGTCCGTAGATCAGTGCTGCTGTCAGCCTTGGTCAGGGACACTTCTTTTTAAAGTGGCCAATTGTAATTGCAGAGACCCATCACTGGTCAAGGTGCTGAGAATGGATGACTATTGAATGCTCAGCCCCCAAAGGTGGGTGTTTATGTCACCCCCTCCAGTGCTCAGGAGACACTGCAGGAAGGAGGAAGGGACAGAATGTGAGTGCTTGAGGAAGTGGTGGAAGCTGTGTGGAATGCTGACTTTCGGGCATTAGGAAGCTGTTGTGATCACCTGCATAAGACTGGGTACATCAACATTCTGTCGTGGAGGAGAGAGAGGCTCATGGGACCCACCTGAGGGTTTAGGTGCAGATGCAGTTAACGGTTGATGGGTGAAGAAGAGACACTTTCTTCTCTGGTGAGGTGCCTGTGGTCCTGTAAACAGCCCTAAAGAAACACCATCACCAGAAGGGAGACAGGAGAAAGAGGGTCAGTTTGGAAAGAGGAGAGGATTAGCAGGGGTGGGAAAGGAACAAGAAAGGGAAATGGGGTGACATGGCTGATAACATCATCTACATGTATAAAAATGTCACAGTGGAATCTATTACTGTGTATAACTGATTAATAATAATAGAAACATGGATAAAAACAAACAAAAAACAGTTCAGTGTCTAGCAAAACATGGTGTCTAAGGTCTGTAATCCTGGCATTTAGGAATTTGTAACAGGAGAATCAGGAATTCAAGGCCAACCTCAGCTACATCGTGAATTTGAGGTCAACATATAGGTTACATGAGGCTCTGTCTGAAAACCAAAAGCCTAAGACACAAATAACAATAACATTCAAACAACCCAGTCTCTATTTGGAAAGAGGAGGAGACTAGTGGGAAGAAGGAAGGAGGTGAGACAGTGAGGAGTAAATATGATGAACCCTACAAACATGTAAGAAAATATCACAAAATTGTATTTATACAATGAACATACACCAATGAACTAAAAGAAAAACCAGCTTGGAGAGAAGGGTTATGTGTTCACCATGGACCTGTGGCTAAGCCTATGGGATATACCACTTTCCCTTCCTGAGCTAGAAGCGGACATCATCCCATCCAAACCAAACAGTGGAGGCACCATGGTAGCTGAGGTCCATGGTAGTTGTAAGAGGTATGTAGATGCTGGGAAAGAAACGAATACATCACCAACAGGTAGCATGTGGGCATAGCCTCTCCTGTATGTCCCCCAAGGCTGAGAGGTCCTTTCATATGGAGGGTTGGCTGTGCGTGAATATGTGTCATCAGGGAAAACCGGTCTTTGTTCTTTAGGCTCAGTTCTGTAATCCCAGAATCAAACACAAATTGTTACGTAGAATCCTTTCCCAAAGCTGTGTCTAGTTCTGCGTAAGAGGCAGAGGGCACTGGAAAGCAGAGACACCTTTAGCATGCAGCCACCTGTGTGTTCTCTCTCTCTCTCTCTCTCTCTCTCTCTCTCTCTCTCTCTCTCTCTCTCTCTCTCTCTCTGTGTGTGTGTGTGTGTGTGTGTGCGCGCGCGCATGTGCGTGTATGCATGCAGTGCATTTTCATGTATATGCTGAGGTTTGGGCTCTTGCCTAGACATGTCTGAGTTGAACACTTTAGAAACATTTTCCTTGTGTTGTGGAGAGATACTGGCTCACTTCATTGAACCTGTTAGCAGTGAAGTGGAACCACAGTAGGCCTAAAATGATGCTCTCAAAACCCAAGCTTGGCTCTCTCGGGGCCTGGCTTCCCCCAGAGGTCATGAGACAATAATTCTATTTCCCTTCTACTGTCTCTGGCTACACTGAGAAAGCGTGGGCTGAGATGAAGGCTGCAGGGGAATTGCCAAATAATTTGTAATTTTATCAACTTCAACAAGGTTTCCGAGTGATTCAACCCCATGATAGAGCTGCCCAGACTGCGGAGGGAGTAGCAGATCGAAAAGTCTACATGCTAGCCTTTACTAAGCAGGGAAAATGCAGCCACAGCTCACCATTTTTAGGGAAGTTGATATTAGCTGGCTATGAAAAGGATGAAGTGGGAAAGGCCATATGTACAAAATGAAGGTAGTAGGCGTACACTGAAGCACAGCACAGATCATCTATGTCAAAGTGGACACTCGGCTGCAACTCAGCTAGTGCCATATGACTTCCTTGGGCTCGTGTTTCCAGACACCCAGTTTAAAAAAGAAACTCAAGCCAGGTGCCGCCGCCGCCGAACACCTTTAATCCCAGCACTTAGGAGGCAGAGGCGGGTGATCTTTGTGAGTTTAAGATCAATCTGGTCTACAAAGTGAGTTCCAGGACAACCAGGGCTGTTACACAGAGAAACCCTGTCTCAAAAAGCCAAAAACCAACCAACCAACCAAACAAACAAAAACAAAAAAAAAACAAAAACAAAAACCTTGCTTACTATACATACACTGATTCTACTTAGAAAAAATATTTCCTGTTCAAAATTGTATTTCTTGTTCATTTGTTTGTTTGTTTGAGATAGCCCAGACTGGTCTTGAACTTGCTATGTATTCCTTGAACTCTTGATCCCTGTCTCAGACTGCCAAGTGCTTGAATGACAGGTGGTGTGTACAGCCTTGTGAGCTCAGCACTGTATTTCTTCATTTTTTTTTAATTGGAAAGAAACACACTGTAACCTGAAATGTTTCATCTTTGATAGTAAGTATTGGGTCCAGTAGTATCATATGCAAAAAATAATGCAGCCTGGTCACCTTGCAAAACAGAAGGAACTCTAGATCCATTGTCAGAAATCCTTCCAGCCCGGCCAGCTGCCCTTCTGCTGTCTAATTCTGTGGGTTCCACTCCAGCTGGCTCATACACTATCGTCTTTTGTTACTTGTTTACCACATCTGTCTCCAGAGTCCACCGGGGTTCTAGCATGTGTGAGAATCTTCTGCCCTGCTGAATAATACTGTCTTTCGCACAGATCCTGTCCTTTGTCCATCTTTCTGTTGATGGGTGCTCAGGTTTCCTTTCTCTTTTTTAAAGTTTTATTTATTTTATGTGTATACGTGTGTGTGCCTGAATATGTGTTGTGCTGTGGTGATATTGTGTCCCCCAGTATATTGTGCACCCTAATAAACTTGTCTGTGGTCAGAAAACAGAACAGCCACTAGACAGACATAGAGGCCAGAAAATGATGGCACACACCTTTAATCCTATCTCTTGTTTTTTTGTTTTTTTGAGACAGGGTTTCTCTGTGTAGTTTTGGTGCCTGTCCTGGATCTCACTCTGTAGCTCAGGCTGACCTCAAACTTACAGAGATCCTCCTGCCTCTGCCTCAGCCTCTGCCTCCTGAGTGCTGGGATTAAAGGCGTGTGCCACCGCTGCCTGGCATTTGCAGGTTCTCGTGGAGTCTGAAAGAGGATGTCAGCTTCCCTGGAACTGCAATTACAGGAAGTTGTCATCTGCTTGACATGGGTGCTGGGAATTAAACCTGGGTCCTCTTCAAGAACAGCAAATGCTCTTAACCACTGAGTCATCTCTCCAGCCCCTCTTCCCTCTTTTGACTGCTGTGACTAATGCTGTGTATGGACATGTGTATAAAATATTTTTCTTTTCTTTTTTGTGTATGCTAAGCTGGCTTTCAACTCACTATGTAGCTAAGGATGATCTTGCCCTGATCTTCCTGCCTCCGTCTTCTGAGTGTACATCACTATACTAGGTTCCTTCCCACCTCTCTCCTCTCCACTTCTCTCTTTTCTTTTGAGGTGGGGACTCTGGCCCAGACTGGCCTCAAACTCTCAATCTCCCAGCTTTAGCATCTCAAGTATTGGGAGTGCAGATAATGAGTGTGCTCTACCACAGCTCAGAGTCACATTTCTCATAAAGCTACGTTACTAACTTGCCCTCTGTCCGTTTAATCTTCTCAACATGATTGTAAGCTTTCTTAGAGTAGGGCTAGTATTTATTACCAGTGTGTGTGTGTGTGTGTGTGTGTGTGTGTGTATGTGTGTGTGTGTGTGCATAGAGGTGTGTACACTTGAGCGTGCCATGGTATACAGGTGGAGATCAGAGTACAGATATAGGGAGGCAATTCTTTCCTTCTACTCGGTGGATTCAGATAGTAAACGCAGGTCATCGGGCTTGGTGG